CGCGCGCCCGACCGTCGCACCCGGCGCGACCCGCCATACCCCGTTCCTCATGTACGAACCTCTCCTCCCGGCCGCTCGCCTCCGCGATTCCTTCGCGTGAAAAACGACAATGCTCAGCTTCGTTCTTCTCTACACGTTGGCTTGCAAATCGCCGGCCGGCATGACGATCCGTCGAAAGCTCGGTCACATTTACGATTGTCGAAAGGGTTCGAGTACTGCGGGCCATCGCAGACGCGGACCGCCGTCGACTACTCTTGTATCGCGGTCACGGCGATGTTAATGGGTTAGTTAGGACGCGGTGAAGGATAACGTGATCGTCGTATTCGTCGAGTGGCGGAAGATTTGAGAAAGATCGTGAACCCTTAAAAAAAAAGAGGTATCTCGAACCGGTTTTTCCGCGTTCTATGTTAAAAGTGAAAATATTGCGGGACGACTACATTATATAATATAATTCACGAGTTAACACTAGAAGTATCGCGATTAAATAATCTCTAAATAAAGTATAATTTCAAAATGGGCTCTTCAATTAATACAATAATTCGATAAATCTTTTGACAAACCTAGCTTACAAACGGATTTTAACTTTTAACTCTTGTAGTTTTAACTTCCATCGCTGACCATTCTTTAACATTCACAGTTTTATGTAATTTGATAATGAATGTAACAGCTTTAGTTCATTTCGTCAAATATGACCAAATTATTGTATATTTGCGTTTGCGTTTGAGGTTATGTAATTTAATTCTATTATTTAATTTTTTCTTACACACTAAAGATGGATAAATTCGATGGCCGAAATGTTTGTGTATGTTCATAGATTTAAACAATAAATTAGAGTGCTACGTCCTAGCTCTGTTTAGCTTGTAAAGATTTGTCGAATTATTGTAAATAATTTCTTTTAATGCTTTTCAATAAGTAAAGAAACTACAATGTTACAAGTCAGACATGCAATTAAATAATTTATGTAATTTATAACACTCCATTGCACACGAAAATTAAAACTAGTGTTTAAAATTGCAATATGCACAAAATTCCGTGCTGCTTAGAATTCGATTAATAAAATGAATTCATAGTATTCAGTCTGATAGCGCTAATTTGGGCTAACAATGACATGAATTAGTAAATAGCGCATCAAGATCTCAAATGTATATGCCTTATAATTTCGATTGTTTATTGTAACGCATTGTTGATTAATTTTGGTCGTTGTTACAATCCGAATTTAAGTCATTGCACTAAATTCTAGAAATTCGTTTTATTAATCAAACGCATTCTAATCGCAATGGAATTGTTATTTCCATTGTGAACAATTAAAAGCAAATAATTCCCATTGTGGTTATGCAGTATAAATATCATCATGATATCAACTATTTTTAATTATTTTTCTATCTTTATATTATTTTCAAAGCTTTAAATATGTGTGTTTTTTATATTAATTTTATTATTATTGATTAATAAAATTAAATTTAAAGTTTTGAAAATAATACAGAGAGAAATAATTAAAAATATCGATTAATTTTATTAATCGATAAAATAAAGCTTGATTGATTGAATAAATCTAATAAAAAAAGAATAATATTATTTCTGTTTTATTCTGTTTCTAAACATTTCTTTTAATATACAATTAATTGTTGTAAGCACGTATAATTCGCGCTTGTAATTCATTAGCTGATTTTTTTTTGTTGAAATTATTATTATTTTACTGTTATTATATCATTCTTATTTCTATTATTTTTATTTTCCTGGCGATTTAAAGTTTTCATGAAGCATCAATAAAAAAAAAAGATATGAAAGTGAAAAAGTGCGAAAGTGCGTCCTTTTTCGGTTGCTGGCCGCATGGACATGTTTTATGCATCGTATGTTCGTATCACGCTACTAAACGAGGAGTAATCGCTCTCATCCAGTTGTGAAATATTTTTTTTGTTCTCTTTCGAGCCACGCGCGGACCGAACGGCGAAAGATATCGGCTGACATGTGCCACCTCTTATCGTGCTGTATAAAACTTTCAAATTCGTCTGTTGTACACGTCACGTCAATGCGTGCAATTTGTGCACGGTCTCGATCTCGTGCGAATCACTTGATCGATCGAATCTTTATGTTTATTCGAAATCGAGGGCACGCGACGCGGGAGCGTGCGTCGATCGGGTCATGTTGTCCCATCGATACGCGATAGCGAAAGATAAGGGCGAGAGGAGGAGGCAGAAGAAAAAGGAGATCGGATGAAGCGCGAGACTAACTGTGCCCTGGACTCTGTCTCTGTGTCATTTGAAATCCAAATAGGGCCTCAAAAAAATTCAAATCCCACCACGCGCAATCGAAGATGCACCCCGCCGTGTATTTTAAGCGTCTCGATCTTTTGCATTGCGCATACATCTTTCTTGCGAACGCGAAACTGGAGATTTCAGATAGGCGCAAACTGATTGTATGAAACTCGGATCGACGAATCGACTTGTATCATCCGAATATTGCTTCTCGTAAAGTAGTATTTTTAAATTGCAAAGTCAAAAAAAAAAATAAATTTGAGTCTCGGTGATTTCGAGTAGCATTCTTACAGGAAGAACACACCAAGGTTTCTTTTTGCTACCATAGAATCGCAGTTGTTACGTATTTTCAAATATCAAAGAACTTTAAATAAATTGAATACAGATTCTTCTGATTTTTAATCGATTAAACTAAAAAGTTTGATTATAAGAGCCGCCGTGACTGTTAGTAGAGAAAAATATATCTCTTTTTCAGTCAAAATTAATCTGAATTTATAAGTTAATGGTCCATTTAAAAGTCATAAATCTCGGTATGGAAAGTTTTACTTTAACAAAAATTATTAAAAATAATAAAAAATACAAAAAAGATAAAAGTATCAGGGCGCGAATGATTAAATGATTAGAAGAATTTCATTGAAAGAAATTTAATTTGATAATAATGTTAATATTTAATAAATTGGGGAACATTTTACGGCTAGTCGAGAATGACGGATGAAACGTACAAAGGATGTACAAAACGCACTTCTAACGGTAAAATGATTGAAATTGACATCCGTACGCGACCGTTGGCAAATAAAAAGTGAAGAGCAAGACCAATGCTTGGTCTCATCGAAATCTTCACTATATCCGCCTGTCCGTTAACACGTCGATCGTTAAGTAATGAGTACCTTCATCGGCAACGAACTCTTTCATCATAACTGGTTAAAGTTGGACCATGGATCCTCACATTGTAACTGCACTACTAAAGTGCATTATGTCGTTCAATAAAATTTTATAGCTGTCTGATCGCACCAATTTCCATATCCCTCCCATTTTTTTCGTCGTTTCTTTTCTGGAATCAATTTTAATAATTTGCATCCTCATGGAGATCGGGAACGGAATCGCTTATAGGTTCAGTTTCGCCGAAGATATCTCACTTTGATCTTTGCAGTCGCACGATCTTCCTTTTTGATGAGATTTGATTCGTGATCTCGGATCACCGTTACCGATACAATTCGCGTGTACTTCTTTCGCTTCTTATTTCTGCAGAAAAAAACTGTGGAGATTAACGTTTTCTTTCTATAAAAGTTAAATGTATGCAAGGTAAAAAAAAAGTAAAAAACCATTCTAAATTTACAAATTACATAATTTTAAATAGAAATATAAAGGAGCAAAAAGAACCAATGCCAAAACATGTATTGAAATAAAATAAACAAACGTTTCAGCCTTCGTCGGGTGTCGATAATAATATTTAAGTTTTTATAATTTTTACTTAAATTTACTACATTATCGCAAAGAATCAAAAATAATAAAATTTTAAATTGACATTTTCATCGATATACATATAAAGTCGAATCGGCTGGGCGATCAAAATTAAAATTCAATGATTAGAAAATAGCGTTGGTATTAATCCGAAACAATATTTTAAAAATAGCTGCAAATTATGAAGATGACTTTCAGATGTACTACATCACAAGTGCGCAAGGTTGACGAGATAGTTAAAAAAAATTAAGAATACTTATTACGACTTATTAATAACCACGATTTGCTAGGATCAACAGGTACATGTGGCTCGTGGCTCAATTATAGCATCGTTGTCTTATCGACTCATGCAAATTAACTTTTTTCTTTGCATATAAGATCTCAAATTAAATTCTAAGAGCTCTTAATTGCCATGCAAATAAGATTGTTTATTAGTGTGATTCAGCACACAATCAGATGCTGAGTTACATAAGAAACTTATGAAGACGCTGCTTGATGTACGGGAACTTGTGAATAAAAGTGCCTTGAAGCCTAATTGTCAATGATATTTTACGTTAAAAATTAAAAACTTGGAACAAGTAACAGTCTTGTGTAAAACAGTTGCCGAGAAAAAATTGTCACTGCGTATCTGACTATAAAAAGTTTTTGCTAAGTCTTTATTAAATACACATGGCGGTGATTTCTTTCTTTTCATCTAAAAGTAAGATGCATGTATAAAAAATATAATATTTAGATAATAAATTAAATTTGAGACGGCAATAAATAAAAATCATTTATTGTTATTTTTGCAATAAATTATTTAATTTAATTTAATTTTTTTCTTGATTTGCGGATAAAACAAAGCGCATCGTTTGAATTTTCTTTTTTATTATATTAATATAAAATAAGAAAAACTTGACATTTGCTAACATTTCTGGGAAATTAGATTACTAAAAGTTTTCAACATATGTATAAATAATTATTAGAAAATTAAAAAAAAGCTAGAAAATTTAACGTAACTAATACTTAATTTTTCATAAGAATGTCAGGGAATTAAAACATATATTTTACAATATATTTTATATACAATATATTACATAATATATTACATAATATTTTATGGAAATTTGTAAAAAGTAATTTCTCAAATATATGTATATTGCACGTTAATTTCTTTCGCATGATTACGTGTCAATATAATTGACACTGCGACGTGATATTACAAAGTGGTAATAACAACTTCTTACGTCTCGCATCAAACCTGTCAATTATCATTCTATTTTCACGACAAAAGACGACGTGAATTCACCTGAAAACGATTTCCTCTTTACTCTTGCGCAGTGAAGCTAGCAATGATTCAGCTAGAGCATAGTGAACGCCGGACTTGCCGCAATGAAATATTTCTTTTTATCGGTGCAGAAATCTGTTGAAAAGAATATCTTGTTGCATTCTGATATAAACATTTATTATTATTAAATTTCTATTGTTATTTAAATAATTTATTTTTCATCTCCTATTTCCATTTCTATTCTATTTCTCTTTATTACAAAAATTATTTTTTAGTCACAAAAGTTTTCTAAAGTTTTATCAGTTGCTTTTATTGTGACGATTGTATAACAACTGTTGTAGATGATATTTCCGTCCGTCGCATCGGAAATATGCCTCAGACTTTTGGGAAACGAAAGAGAAACCAGGATTATAGAAAGAAAACCGGGACAAGTTTGGCATTGGAACGCGATTATGGAGAAATTCGAGCATCTTGAGGCGCTAACGTTAAATGATACCGCTCTCTGTAGCGTCAATACAGTGAACGACTTGCGTGGAAAGACACTCGTCGTTGATGTGAATGACGTAAGTACCGAGTATTAATGATTTTCTTGTGTGCGATCTATTCGTATGATCGAAGTGAGATCGAAATCGATTGTTAAATGCCGCATTTATCAAGTTCGAAATTACGAGTATAAATAAGAAATAAGAATTGGGAATGAGAAATTAAGTTTTAACACGTAGAATGTCACGCTTCAGCTTATAATAAAAAAATATCCTTCTGTATAATTCTTTCTCATGTATAATATATTTTTGTATAATTTATTTTTTTAAGTTTGTGTTTTTAAATCGCAGTAGCACATGCTATTTAAAGTATCATTTCAGATATATCCATACGTCATTATAAATGCAAATGAAGACGAAGTCACGGGATTAATAGGAGATGCCTGGAGAATTTTAGAAACAGCTTTAAAATTCAAGTATATTACAGTAGAATATTTTAGCATTACAAATTTCTCTCGAGAGACGGCAAAATATATTTGCCGTTGCAAAAAATTTCACTTTCTCTCCCCCGTCTTTCTTACTTCTAAATTTGTCGTTATGTAAAATGATTCATGACTTGTAAAGCAACTTCGGCAATGACTTGATAAAATATTTTGAGTAAAAATATATAAATATAGATTTTTGATATTATGAAATTTTTCGCTCAAAATTATCTCTAAAGATCCGTTAAAGTACGTGTGCTTTCTCTTTTCGCGTCAGTCTGTATACAGCCAAACAACCGTAACACCGATTTACACGCATGATTTTCATGGCGACGCGCGTCTTCAAAGGGGTATGTGTGACGAAAAAGCCGTACGTAGAACCTGCCCAATTTTCCGCGTACCACCCACACCCACGTCGCCGGTGTGGGTCAAAATACTCGCATGATTCATTCGTCTAGACAGGTATAAGTATAGTATCAGGATGGGCAGATGGTAGCGGGAGAGAGAAAGGCAGAGAGGGGGGAGAGTGAAGCGAAAGGGATACGTTGCGGCGATAGCGTGGAGGGGCCCGGGGGTAGGTGGGTGCGTGCGTGCGTGTAAATATGCGCGCGCGCGCGCGCGTGTGTGTGTGTGTGTGTGTGCGTTGTGTTGGATTAGCGAGCGCGCGGCACCCGTAATAAAGGCGTCTCTTCGACGAAAATGCAGGACGATTTACCGAAGAACGGGACAGCGGTCATCCGCCGCGACGCTGATGAATGAGCATAGCCACGCACTGCTGATCGCCACATCGATGTACTCGCACACTTCGAGTTATTACACCTACAGCGCGCCGCTCACGAGCAGTTCGTAAGTCGAACGCCAGCCGTTATTTCGCCACCCCCTTCTTATAATGCAATACCGGACGAGCGAGCGAGGGACGCGCGCCCTTATCGCGCGGCAAGCTTTCGTTCCCCCCCTCCCTCTTCCTCCCTCCCCCCGCGAGTGCGCGCGACGCGAGAGAGCTTTTTTAGTTGGCGCTTTTACGTCGGTCATTAACCCGTTCCGGTTGGGCACCAGCCTATCGAGATATACTCCGCGATCGTATCGCGGATAATGACTTTCTGATTTCGTTTGCGCGATTTCTCTTCGTGTTGGCCGTTGTACCGCGAGAAAAAGGAGAAATGGAAGGAGCGTAGATAAGCTTTCGCATCGATCGTTATCTGAAAGGAACTTTTTAGCATGCACATAAAAAGCACACAGCGGTACACATAATTGCAATATGGATATCACGATCGCGCGATAAGATTATAATATAATCTTGTTTTTTTTTTTTTTTCAAGTAGTTGCGTTTGTCGTCGATTTAAAAAAATTGTATTGCCCAAATTTCAGGCGCGGTAAAAATTAATTAAAATTCCGTTTGCACATTTCTCCCGCACGATTCCGTTGGAATATTAAGTTAATTAATTTAATTGTTATTTTTATTACATTTTCCATCTTTAGATACGCGCTATTTGTTCAGTCGAACGATGCGATTATCGCAAAGTGGCGATACATCGGTATCTTTAGCCGCAGCTTGTGGATAGTGTCTCTCACTATGATCGCATGTATCGCATGCTGCATCATGGGAATGTACCGTTTCAAGAAGTTTATGTGCATTAATTATAAAGATTGTGACGACGAGCTTGCCTCACCGTCCTTCAATTTCCTTTGCATTTTAGGTAGCTTCTGTGGTCAAGGTAACGCATGAACTGCATTGACGCATGCAATGGAAATTGAGCGTATAAGTAATATAAGAGATAAAATATGCCATAATTTGATAAAACATTGCAGTTTTAGAAATAATGTTTGAGATGTGCATTTAATTAATTTTTATTATATATATTATATATATTATAAATCAACCGAAATGCGTTTGTAATAATTTCGAAGATGTCATTGTAAACGCACGAAAGATTTGACTCATAACATCTCGTCGAAGCTCTTGAATCGTTTTTTCTCTTTGTAAATTTTATAATATTTTTGCAATTTTTATCTTTATGTAAATGTTTATATATTTTCCGATGTATGTAAAATATTTTTAGTATAATAAAATCGGAACGTTGAAAAATTTTACAAATATAAACTTTTATATTTAGGATTCCAAAAAATACCAAAAAGCTTATCTCTACAATTAATAATATTATCTAACTTGATGATGGGAATGTTACTGACATGTGGCTTCAGTAGCACTCTTATTTCATGCTTGGCGAGTAAAGAAAATACCATTCCCTTGGCTAATCTCGAAGACGTAGCGATAAAAAGGACACACTCACTTTGTGTCAGAAACAAAAGCAGTGCATATACTTATTTTACAATGGTACTTAAAAATAGAAACAAAGGAAAATATAAATATAACATAAACTTGTTTGCACAACATTATTATGTGTTAGCGCGTTTACGTATTAAAATTTGAATATAATAAAAGGAACTATGTATTTAAGAAATTATTTTGCAGAATGGATCAATGTATAGCGACTTTCACAAAGAATGGAAAGGATTGATAAACAAAGGCTGTCCCGACATGAGAGACAGCGCGACTCTCCTTTCAAAATTATGCCGTCCAGGTTTCGCCTACTTGGAACTACCAGAAATCTTTCTATCACACTATAAAAAAATCGAGAGCAAATGCAATATCGTACAATTGCCCGATAATTATTGGAGAATTAAATTGGCATTTCTGCATGCGAGAACAGTGCAACATCGGCAACTCATTGATACTTAGTGAGTACTATTTTTTATTGTTTAGGTTATGTTTGGTCATATAAATACAACTCATTTTAATCACATTAAAATAAAAAAAAAACTCTTTTTTGCCTCAAAATAGAATTATGTAATATTAAAAAAAATTAATAAATTGATTTCTTTCTCTCTAAAGTATCATATATTCATGAAATTAATTAACCATTTATTTTTTCGATTAATTATGAATTATTTATTATTACCACATAATTTGTAAAATAACTTTACAGAATACAAAAAAAACATGTAGAATATGGTCGAAATTATGTTTTACATTTTATATTTTAAATTAAACAATTTTTCTATCCAGTTTTAAATTTAATAAGAAATGTGCATTTCTATCAACAGCATAATACGTATGCGTTCAGCTGGGATACTCAAATATCTTGAGAAAAAATGGATGTTAAAAGAAAGCCGACCCAATTATTTTTCAACGAGCAATTTCCAACCCGTGCGATTCAAACACATTCGTTTGAGTATCTTATTATTCTTCACGATAACGGCTCTCAGCATAATTATCTGCATTTTGGAAAATATTTGGTATAAACTGAAATTCAAGAAGAAACCATCTAATTTAATATTACGGCAAACATGCAATAGCAAGCTGAAAGTAATGAAAACGTGTTATAAAATGCGACCAAAATTCAAATGGCGTCAGAAATTCAACTCGACGTTATTATCTGGAAATATAAACAATCCAGAATTTTTTCAGAACGTTACGGTGCAAATTAATAGGTGGTGAATATTGCATTTATAATTATAAATTATATGCAAATATGTCTCTCAAAAACAATATCTCTGTATTTTCGATAAATATAATGATCCACGAGAATAATATCAAGATTTGGAGTTTAAAAAAAAGTTATATATTGATATAATCTGAAAATATAATTATTATGCTGAATCGCATATTTCTGCTGAACAATTCTGTTTTTATCTTTTATCTATTATTGATTATTATTATCTTATGCAATTTTTTGAATAAATCTTTTAGCTTAAAAGAACTTTATTAATAAAATATTGAAAGCTTTATACGATAATATTAATATTACGTATATATATTTTTTAAACACTACATAATGCTATCAATGTGACAAAATAATGAAAAGAATATGATTTTAGTGGTGAGCATGAAAGAATTGCTCTGCTTCTTTAATTTTGATTTAATAATGCAAGCATAGTACAATCCAAAAAAATAATTACGACGAACATCATTAATGACCAATACATTTTTTTTGTATTACACAAACCATACACGAATAGTGTTTTCGAAACGCAACGCGCAACAACCGTAGAGACAACACTCTTCTCATTGTTACAATACGTTATTCACAATCATTATAAACAATGGACATTTACAAATGCAATTGGCATAAAATATTTAAGGCCTATACGGATCTTACGTTGTAATTAGAGAAACTTTGGCTTTTTCTTACGTGATAATTTTTGCCACTTTTCAAGAGAGACGCGAGAGGAAGAGAAGGGGAAGGGGGGCGATTCCAATAAGGAATAAAATGCGTAGACAGAATGCCCCAAATTATTTTGTGTGAAAGTTCCCTCTTTCCGCATTATCACCGATCTCAAATCTGATAAGCTTAATCCTAAATAGGGGCCCTAGACTTAATCCTAGATATCCAACGGGTCTTAACACTTTTTTTTTGTCTTGCAAGATATCGTATTCTCTTGAGCATAAAAATGTGTTAATATTTGATTATTTTTTGCTCTAAGAGATATTTTCCGACAATGAAATCTTTGTCTTGCTTAATAATAAAAAAAAAAAAAAAATGAAGAGAGAAATCGTGAATTGTGACCTCAGTATGCATTTAATGACTGTATCAGAGAGGGTACGTGGGCTTCTAAAGTTTACAATATTCCGACGAGAATAACACACTTCCTCAGTATTTAGTGGTGTAAGCTAAGAAAAAGTTAAGCGTAACCGTTGTGTGGATTATTGTTATCGAGATACTTTTCATCCTGCTGCCGCGATTTATACGAACATCATTGATAATCATTGGATCGTTTGATCTTAAGTGAATTTATTACGTGCGTCAGTAATAAGTGTATCTTACGCAATGTACAATGACATTTTACTATCTATATAATATTTCTTCTTTTTCCTTCATACGCTGTACGGAAGTGTACCTTTATTTCCTTCTGATGTACGTTGAAAAAAGAAATTGGATTTTGATTCGCCTCTCTTTTGAAGCACGCAAAACTCACTCGAACTGCAATATTGTTGCGCTCACAGCGCTATTGAAGCTCTTTCCCGAATGAATTCCGCGAACAAAGTTCAGTAATAAGAATGAAACTTTATAATTACAAAAACTTTATAATATAAAAACATATCGCAAATTTTCATTTTTATCATATGTATAGTCTTAAAGTCCGCTTTGCATTGGAAGATATGACACACGAAATTTTTCATCGACGACTTTTCTTTCACGTTACCGCAAAGAGTGCAATTGGATTATCAATAGTTCTTATATTGTCCATAATTCCAAGATATTACGTATTAGGTATTTGCCTATTCGACTTCGTCTTTGCACGGTAACAGAAAATTGCTGCCGGCCATTACGGAGAAACTTATTCTTTCCTATTACAAAATTGGAGAAACGCTAAAATTAATCTCAATGAAAATTAGAAATCAGATATTCTACGTTATTCTATCAATAGACGCATAAACTCTCCGATCTAGAAACCACATTATTTACAAAATCAGCCTTTATCAATGAAACTTTATACGCCATAAACTCTTGCATAAAATTATTTCAACTAAAAAGAAGGAAAGGAATACGTATAGAGAATTATATTCTGATAAAAATCTGTAAGTATGAGATCAAACAACATCTCGCAAACATATACGCACAAGTACTGTTTATAATATACGCATTTATAATAATCTATAAAAATATATATAATAATTAAATAGAACAGAGTAAACAATTAATATCTCCAGGATAAAATACTTAATCGTTAGAGACAGAAACTTCGATACAATACTTAGAAATTCTTCTCTACGCTTTAACGTGAAAAGAAAATTAACAATTCTGAAAGCAACTTCTGCTTTTGAAGATTAGGTATGTATTTCACACTATGTGTGTTTAAATTCTTTTAAGCTGACTTATTTTTAGCGGAGACGCCTTTCCGTCAGACGGAGTCAAACCTTTGATTCGCTCAAGTATGCGCTGGATGGCACGAAATATACAATTAAGCACACATTTAAAAATATTTCTCTTGTTATCAGCAATAGTGCATCGTATCACGCGTTGCCACAATCTCGACGTTCCGAAATTCGTCTAGCTAGTCATATAAGTAAGTAATTTTTATAAAATAAACTTTTCAAGCTTAAAACGCTAGAATAGATCCTGCTAGCAAAAGTTACGGTTGTCTTCCAGCCGTAGTTTACCGAGATCGCATCAAAAGTGAAATAATATCGATGATTCAAATATAAAAATTTCAACATTTAAAAAATTTATTTCAGCCATTCGTCCTGCATACGCTTTAATCAATTAATTGGCATTGTATAATATTGGTATCGTGTATAAAAGTGAAAAATATGCTGCACGTTAAGAATATTTTTGCGCTTATTAATGCTGCTAGATGTTGCTCTTTAGTGAATCTCGATAAACCATGGTTGGACTATGCCGAAAAGAAATTAATCGCAGTACAACGTAATTAAGAAAAATACGTATAATGGTCCTAGTGTCCTTTCGACAAATAAAAACTCCCCTCGATCATATTATAGTTTGCACGTACTTGTTCGAGGCATTTAGCTTATACAAATAGTTTATTTTTGTTAATAAAGTTCAGATTTTTTAATTGTGAAGAAATACCGATTTGCTCTACAAATGATGCAAAAGAGTAATTTGGATTTATAATAGAAAATATACTGTTCAATAGATCTTTTATCAGAATTCTTTTAAGAATATCATATTTTGAATGGCATATTTTGCGCAATTTGATTTAAAAAATTCAATATTATATAAATTCTATTGAGTTGAGATCTATATTTTAAGAAATGACAAATAATAACTAAAGTTTATTCAAAAAGTAATTATCGCACACTTTTGCTATATATATTTAAATGTAAATTTACAAAATAATCAAAACAAGAAAGTTCAAAATTAGCAAATAAAATGTGCAGTCAAAAACGGGCATTAAAATTTTGCATAATTTTCGTCGGCGCTTAAAAATTGCGTTAAATCTTTCGTCAATTTTGTAATCACATAATAAGGTGTTATGTGATAAAAAAGATGTGTGTATAAAAAATTAACAAACGTACAATCTAATGCCCGAAACTCGTTCCGTGCTCTACGACGTGCTACTTCCATTATGCAACGGCATGTAGAACAGCCTCGACGATCGCACCGCGATCGCCAGAAATCATGTTCAACCGAACTGTCTTGAATCAGTCGGGAAAAGTACGAGTAATTACCACACTTCGCACTTATGAATCGGATTCATCTTCGAGTCTTTAGGGCAGTTAAATTCCACCGCGAACTCGGGCAGGTTTGAAAGTGGTCCTATCACTCTGTACTTTGGTGGACAATGAGAATCCTTCTCGATCTGAAGAGCCACCGCTTCGGACGTCGTAGCGGAGCACCAAACCTGCGGACATTTCTCACATGATTAATGCGGCCAATATAAACATGCTTTTGACGTGACTGAGATTAGTGTCAAATCAAACGCGATTATTTTTCCATCGATTTAATACACTTGACATCGCGCGATTATTTTATAACAACCTGTGCGAAATTTAGGAAGAATAGTTGACGATGCGTTAGGTTAAGACCGGGTAGCAGCAGTAGGTCCTTGTAGCTCTTAGACGTCGATAGATAAGCGTGATACGCTGCCTTAAGGCCTCCGTTGTCCGCGATATTCTCTCCTGTTTATTACAACAGATCAGTCGAAATTCTGATATTTTTCTCGCAAAGTGATTATTAATAATCAATATTATTACCCAACGTCTGCCGGCCATTTATATTTCGACTTTGTATCTGATACTGGTTGTATTGTTCCACGAAACATTCTGTTCTATTTTTAAATCGCTCTATCGTCGCGTCATTCCACCACTGATGCAAATTTCCATGTAAATCGTACTCTCGACCTTAACAAATATAAAATATTATCTTCAGCAGATGAATAAATGTATCGTACGTTTAAATAATAATTATTATTGATTTAATTTGATAAATTTTCTTATCGATTTGAAGTAAATATTCTTTTACGATACCTTGGTCGTCGAAAGCGTGGGTTAATTCGTGTCCCATGACTACACCTATTCCTCCAAAGTTCAAACTATTAGGATTCTGTCTGTCGTAAAACGGACTCTGAAGAATACCGGCGGGAAAGACAATCTGATTCTTGGTAGGCGTATAATAAGCGTTCACGGTCGGCGGCGTCATTATCCAAGTAGTCTTATTCACCACTCGATCGAGCTTCTCGAGGTTTTTACGCAAATTGTACTTGTTCACGCGCAAATTATTCTGGAAATACTCGTACTGTTTGATCGTCAGATCTCTGTAGCGCTCGTCGAGCTCGCTGGGCTGCAGAATAAAATCCGGGAAGCCGATCATGTCGGTGATGGCGTTTGCCTTGTCCTCGGCGGCTTTTCTCGTCTCTGCGTCCATCCAGTCCAGATTTTTTAGATTTTTCGTAAACGCTTTGCGAACTTGATTAATCATTTCCTCCGCCTGAGAACATTCAAAAAGCAAGATATTATCGTTGAATTAAACATATCTATGTCTAAGTGGTAGCTTTAGTCTAAAAACTAGTATTTACATATATTTTGGACTTTCAAGAATTCAACTGATCCCTGAAAAGTTGAAGAAAACGGTAGATTTGGTCTTAAAACAACAAATTGTCATCTTAAAGAAACAATTTATTATTGTTTGCTTATTTTATGCTATTCTATATATAATAAAAAAGAAATCAAGAAAGAAAGAGAATAACGAATAGCGAGATTGTCTCAAATATTCAAACACTGACGCGTACTAACCATGGGCTTACTCTTTCCGTGAAAAACCTCTCTGACGAACATTGCGCCAACGGCGAAACCCATAGCGTTATTAACGTCGCTAACGCAGTAACGCCATTGCTCCTCAAGACCTTCCGAGCCGAGTAAAGCTTTCCGCAGGCCTTTGTAAGCATCCCGGAATGGCTTCGACAGGCACGCCGTCAAGGACCTCACGGTCTGCCAAACCAGATAGTTATTCAATATTCTGCGGAAAAAAAGGTAGAGGAAAAGATTGACATTTCTTTTCAACGGGGTCGAAACAAATTTATAAATACACAGCACGGTCCAGAAGTCGCACGCTTTCAATACATTTTTCCAATATACTTTATTGTGCAATATTTCGTTAGCAAAAATTAAATAAAAATAAAAAGTTTAATAAGTTTATAATTTTTTATTCATTAAGCGTGTCATATCAATTGAAGTTAAGAAGATCCCAAAGTCGTTTGTTTTACCGATTTCTTTTAAATAGACTTTACTTTTCTTTGGCTGTGCAAAATAAAAAATCCTTTAAAATCGACGGTCCACCCTGTATTAGCATATGTACTTTAATTAGAGAATATGTACTTTAATTACAGAAAAGGATTTTTCATTCTACACAGCCAAAAAAGGTAAAGTCTATTTAAAAGAAATCGATAAAACAAACGACTCCGGGATCACCTTAAGTATTTGTTAAAATAAGTTAGTTAAAATAAGTAATTAAATAGATATTATAGATTTAAGAGTTAAAAAACATTAATTTGATCTCTCTTTGAAATCTGCGCTTGAATGCAAGTGCGCCATTTATGCACAGTTCGCACATATACGTACATCTTTCCATCAGTTGTATTGTTGTACTGCTGCACAACTTTCGTCAGTTTAGCGAAGTACTCCGGCGCAAAATTCACGATCAGCGCTTTACTACTAATTTTTTTATTAACCAGACGCGTAGCATTTTGAAAGTAGTCCACCCACGACATCTAAACACATAATCATCGTTTGTTATATCGTTGACAGTTTTAATCGTTGAATAATTGCTCTGGTTGAAAAAAATGTGCGAAAATCTTTTCGATACCGCAGCAATTAGAATATTTTAATCAGAGCGTTTGATATCGAATTATTGTTATTAATAACACGATGAACGTACGAAAGGTGCTTTACGTTGCAATTCGTTCAACGACATGAGATTGTACAGCTTCTCTTCGTCTCTGCGATCCTCCGGCGGCGTGGTGATCTCCGCGAGCTTCGTCTCAAAGGTGATTATATCTTGCATCTGTCTCTTCGTGGAGTTCTCCTCGCCGCCTAAGAGCACGCCGATCTGAAAACGTGTACGAGCACCTGTACTCGATTCGCCCGAGACAATGCAGCCGTAATCGTGCAGTCGTAAACGTACGAGAAGATAGTCATTCCTGTACCTTCGTCATGTAATCTAAATACGCGGCCAGCACTTTGCCATGCTCGGTCACATTAAGATAATTGTCCGCTGTTGGTAGCGTCAAGCCTCCTTGATCGATCTTGAAATTAAAGGGAACTTTGGTACACATGTTAAGATAATTAGCAAACATATTAGCACGATATTAACTATCATTACGACGATGAAGATCTAATTTATTAATGCAGACAAGTTCTTCGTTGCGCGAATTCTTGACAAACTAATTATTTCTCTTACATAATATTTCTTACTTCATAAAGATGTATACAAAAATTTATCAAAAAATATATGAGAAAATTGCAGTTTTTATAAAAATTATATTATATTTGCTCAAAAATGGAAAGGAAAAAATAACGATATATTTTTGATTCGGCTCACCTGAATTATGTGTCTACTGCTATTCCGATCATCCTCGTTCACAGCCCAAGAGAATAGACCACCCATATTGTAAACGTTTTGCAGAACGTGCATGCTGTTCTGCAGGGACCACGTGCTTATATTGAACTTGCCGGAAATGTTCCAGCCGCCGATATTTTCCAGCAGTTCCAGCATCGGCTTGGCCCCGAGCGCTTCGATCGTCTCATTTGCATCCATGCAAGATTGATAATAATACTTGGCCTTTTTCTCAGCTTTCGATTTCATCTCGCTGAACGGTTTTTCTACCCGAGAAAACGACTTAATACAAATGACATTCGTTCGTTATGCTCATATTTATTTCGATTATGCGCGATTAATTACCGAGAACATTCTTGACGACCAACTGATTATCCTGATCCAGTTTGCCGAACGTCCCAACCTCTTCCATCCGGATTGGGTTTTTCTTTCTCCAGCCGCCGCACGCGTATTCGTAAAAATCGTCGCAAGGATCAACGGAGGTATCTATACTATTAATTATGGACGCCGCCACCGTTACACAGTGTTCTGTCAGACAATGCGTGTCGTCTGCAACAATTTGTAAGCCAAAGCTAATAAGACTATCAGTTAGTGTTAATTACAGTTAACGCTAATTAATGTCAAAATAACGTACAGGGTGGATTGAACAACACTTTCCATTCCGTCTATTTCATAATCAATTAATGCAAAAAATGCCGAGATAGCTCAATTTCGTTTGTAAGAAAATGCATCACTGTCGTACAAAAATAAAATTCACCTGTTTCGACATTTTTCATAAAAAATTAATTGATGCAAGATAAACGGAGTGAAAAATTTTCCTCAATCCATTCTGCAGATATGAATGTAATTCATTGATTTATTTAACTTCGATTGACCAATCAGATTGTGAATTATCTAGAAGTTAGTACAATTTTTTCCTACCTCCTCCGTGAGAGGCAACATGAAGAATTTGAGCCTCGTCCCAACTATTTCTGCTGCTGATAACAATAGCGAGGACCACGATCGTCAACATCAACACAGCGCAAATTACGAGGAGGCATCTCTCCAAAGTGCTTCTCGCCTTCCACATTGTTGTACCCTAAAACAACAAAGTTATATTATCCTAAAAATTGGATTTATTCCGACTTTGAGATCCGTCTCTAATCTGTTTCTTTGAAAGCATTTTGACGATATTAGAAGGCTTACTGTATGATATCTTATATGCGTAGCGGACGTGCTGATGCCTTCGCTATTTAGAGCGACGGAGCCGATGCTGCTGCTGTCTTCGTCCTCGAATTCGGCTTGTTTATACCTTGTCATCTGAATAACAGTCATCAAAGAGAAAGTCAAATTAAGCATAGAAAGTATACGCAGCCAGAGATTCCAAAGCAATATTTAAATTGAACGTATAAACCGTCATATGTGTAATCCGAATATCGCGCAGTCGCGTAAATTTATGATAATAAATGCGTCTGCTCTTTAACGAACTGCTTGTTAAAAGATAACGGTTGCTACTGAAATTATATTAAAAAATATAAATGTCAACGATGCAACGTGGTAAAATCGCAACAGTTTTCACA